CCCCTTCTCATTGGAGCTCGTGTTCTCGTTGCCGTCCGTGATATCCGCATTGGTAGTGCACGCCGCAAATTTGTGTAATTATGGTACGACCACACGTTTCCGAACGGGATCATTTCAAGTTGATGCGTGAGGTTCCCAAGAGCAAAGGTAAATACTCGTTCTACACATGCAAACATTGTTCCCTTGCCTACAACATGAACCCGGACTTGAAACCACCTGAACTTATTCTTGGGCGCTCTTACAACTACGTTGGTCACCTGCGTAAGTGTGAAGCTTATCGATCTACTGTTGGGGTTACACAAGCGCATTCTAGTGATGATGATTCCAGTGGATCAGGGCAAGGAGGCAGACAGCGGCCAATAAACACTCGTCTGGTGTTTACGAAGTCGCCACCTCGGCGAAAGTCAGCTAAACGAACACCCCCAAAGACTAAATCCCAGCGACGCTTTTCGAAGAGCCAAAAACAAGAGTTGGAGAGACTGCTTGTCGAGTTTCAGGCTGGAAATTTGCTACCAGATCTTTTCATTGAACGTTCGTGTACAAAAGCACTGCTTGAGTATCTGTGCCCCGGTATTGGCTCGTATCTCCCTTCAAGGCGAGTACTAGGAGGCCGCATTTTGAAAAGCCATGCCGCTCATTGCCGTGACATCCAGATTCAGAACTTGAAGCAGAAGCAGATAACTACAGGAGGATATGTGAATTTTCTATCTGATTTGTGGCAGAATATTTCTCGTGAGCATTTGCTGGGTTGCCAACTTCAACTATTTGGGCATTACCTTACATATTCGTTGCCACAAGCGGGAAGTCGGCATGACGGAGCAGCCATCGCGGAAGAGATGGATACGATTTTGAACCAGGTGGTAAACGAAGAGTGGAATGTTGGAGCTGGTGTAACTGATAACGCGGGTCAATGTGGCCGGGCTCGCCGTATTTTGGCCTTACGTTGGCCTAATATGGTGTTTTTGTTTTGTTTCGCGCACTATATTAACAACATTGTTAAAGCAGTCCTAAAGTCAGCATTTGCCGATGTTGCTAAGGACGCAACAGCTGCTGTGAAGTGCCTGAATGCATCGTCATCAAAATGGCTAGTAAGGGCGAGGGCATTGATGGCGGAGTGCTACGCTAAACCGCTAGCTCTTTTCACGCTTTGCGAGACACGGTGGAACAGTATGCAAAGTTGTTTTGCGTCTCTTCTTCGAGTTCGAAGTTCACTCGAAATGTTGGGTAGTAAGTACCGTGGCTACAGAGATTTCCCAAGTTCCTTGGCAGTATTTAGTGATCTTGCATTCTGGAGGAAACTGGAGGAAGCGGAAGCGTTAATTGCACCACTGTCAGAAGCATCGTATCGATTACAAAGGGATGAAAACACAATGGCTGATGTAGTGGTATCTTTCAGAGATATTTTCGTAGGTTTCAATGGAGTTCTAGCCAGCTATCGTTGTGAATTGGTGAACTGTGTGGAATCTCGATGGGGGCAGTGCGAGCAACCACTGTACGTGCTGACATTTCTACTCAATCCAGCCACTGCTGATGACTGTCGAAAGTTAATTGAGGAGACCGACCATAAAAAAGAGTTCTGGAGGTTGAGGAACGCCTTGTCCAGGGTAGATTGCTGGTTGACGAGCAAGCTGACATTTCAGAAGAACAACAGCGAATTCAAGATGTCAAAGATGCACCTAAACTAGTATGATCGGCACAACTCGCAAAATTTTCCGTGTACTACTATCGCCGACTGATTGGAGATGATTTCGATTGTATTCGAAGCGATTTGATCGAATGGATTGAAAACACGCTAACGTCTGCACACCCTAAAGAGTTTCGCTTCGACGCTGTCAAGTTCTGGCAGCATGTTAAAAGAGAAAATCCGGCAAGTGTATTGCCAGATCTTGCAATCCGCTTATTATCCATCTCAGTTAATACCGCGACAACAGAAAGATTGTTTAGCGAGCTGGGTATGATACATACGCCGAAGAGAAATACGATGACGTCTCAAAAATCCCAGGACATACAGTGTATTCGTCAATACATACGGGAATGTGACCACAAACCAGAACAACGTGAGCTCACAGGTGCTCGGATACTAGACCCTACTGAGCGTCCGCTGGTAGATAGAACTGGGGATGAGGTGCAGCCTGCAAGCTAGCTATAGACTGTCTCCTATAAGCCAACAAGGAGACGCAGTCCAAGCAACACCTTTCTCTCCAATCGCAAGTACTCCCCTGGTACCATCGCGGCCACCCACGGCACAGACGCCAACCAACACGTCAACCCACGGCAGAACACCATTACGTAGATCACCTCGTCTAAGTACCCCTTCGTCACAAACATATATCCGTCCGGATCGCCCACGAACACCTACTCCAGCAGTATCGCCATTGCAGGAAGAAGCTCAATCCACCGACGACGATGACTTAGACGATATTGGCGATGGTCTAGATGGAGAGGAGATATTCCCCCGCTGGGAAGAGTATCTCAGCGAAGTACTGGAAGATGATGAGCTTGGGAGTGCCTTCGTTGCACCTCACAGTGATTCATACCACAATTGGGAGTTCGAAATGATCCCTCCACCTGCTACAACACCTTTTCCAGAGGCCGACGATCCCCAATTTCCACAGGAGAAAAGGATAGGTGGTATCAGAGCTCTAAAGTCTTCGCTCTCTGCGATGTTCTCTGGTTTGATAGCACCTGTAGCATAGCCACCGTGCCTTTGTTAAAACGATCATAGGTTTCACCAATCAACTGCATAATAAAACCACCAGCATTGACATTTGAAGCACATATTCATTCCGCAGCAGATGGTATGAGTTCTTGCTCAAATGCCGCAGTAGCAGAGCTGCACGTCGCTCTTCGTCTACGATCTTGGGCAGAAAAATCCATAGTAATTTGTCGACATTTTCCTTGACTTTGTCCACAGCTCTTGAAAAGACACTGCAATCACGCAGCTGAGACCACAGGCGTACGGGAGCCGACCAGAACGCAGGTGCTAAACACAGGCTTCAACGGTTCCACAGGTGCCAAGCTCTGGCGTCAAGGATGCCACGGGTACAAACAAGAACACGAGCACCACAAAGAACACGGACGACACGATGCCCGAGGCAACATCGAGAACAAGGCCACAAAGATCACACAAACCACAGTTAACACGAACACTGATGTGAACACAACGTCAGCGACGGCACGGGCTCCAACGTGAATACAAGTGTCACAGAGAACACGGACGCCAACGAGTACCCAGCGCCACAGAAATCACACGCGTCAACTTGAGCATGGGCGCCACAGCAACCACGGGTACCGACAACAGCACGGGTACCAGCGAGAACAGGGGTGCCACCGAGAACACGAACGCCAACAAGAGTCCAGCGCCACAGAGATCTCATGTGCCAACGAACACAGGCACCAACAACAGCACGGGTGCGAGCGAGACGATGGACACCATCCAGAGCATACGAGCGCTGTAGAGAACAGGGACTCCAGCAAATAACAACAACGCAACCGATACCACAAGCGCCACCGAGACCATGGACGTCAACAAGAACACCGGCGTCGACGCCGAGAGCACGGGCGCTAGCGAGAAGACGGACGCCAACGAGAGAGCAAAAGTGCCGCAGAGGAAATGGATGCCAACAAGAGTATGGGTGCCACCGAGAAGACGGGCGCAGCAGCAAACTCCCACACCAACGAGATAGTCCAGCGCCGCATAGATCACACGCGCCAACGACGCCATATGAGCCACGGCAAACTCGAGGGCGCCACCAACACAACGGATGCCAATCTGAACACGGACGCAACCGAAAACACGGGCGGCACCCAAACCAGCGTCAACGCGAACAACGACATCACGGGCGTCACCGAATACACGGGCCCCAAAGAGAGCGCCAACACGGACCCAACGCCAACCACTGCACGGCTGCCAGCACAAACACGAGCCCCAAAGAGATCACGGGGCCAACACGACCGCCAACGACTGCACCGACAACACGGACGCCAAAATTTCCATCTCTGGCCCGAAAGGGAGCCCGGGCGCCAACACGGACCTAACGCCAACGAGAACGCGGACGCCAACTACTGCATGGATGCCAACAACGGCAACAGACGCCACAATAACACGGGCGCCACCGAGAGAACGGGCGCCGACATGGAGCTAGAGTCAACGATACCAAGGACGCCAACACCAGCACGTGCACCACGAACACCAGAGACGCCAACGAGAACACGGGTGCCACGGAGACCCCAAGCGTCATCGAGAATACGGGCGCCACAGAGAACACCGGCGCCACCGAGGCCACGAGAACAACAGCCGCCAAAGAATCCACAGAGGCCACATCCCGAGGGGGGGGGGGGGGCAAGGTCATGGAAGGCAACGAGACCACAAGAAGCGGAAGCACCGGAGACGCCAAGAACAGGATAACGAGTTGTGACACCTCTTTCTTAAAAAGTAGATTTTATAAATCTGGTATGCGGGCGAAAAGGCGAAAAGGCGAAAAGGCGAAAAGGCGAGGGGTTTAGGCGAATAGTCGCCGCCTAATCTTTTCAAAGGGCGAAAAGGCCCGCCCATACCACCACTACCGGGAGCGGCGCCATCATGCTTGGGTCATCATCTGTTCTTCAACTGCAACCTGGCTGAACACAAAGTCAGGACTCGCCAAGAGTAGGAAGATCGGAAGCGCTGATGTATTTCTTTCTTAATTGCAATCTCACTTTTCATTTTTCCAGCTACTTCTCACATCGACTCAAGTCTTCCTCGCAACGACCTAAAACTTGATGGTTCCAGGGACCTTGGAGAGTACCTTTAAGCGACATTGAGACGCATACTGCAGCAGGTTGGTAAAGTTTGATTGCTTTTGTTCACTCCAGCTAGCTTACCAGAAAATGAGTGGTCTCGTCCACTTCATTGGGGGATGTGGAGTTTTGAAAAATGGTTTTACGTTCAGATTCGCCTAAAGCGTGTACGTTTTAGTTTGTATTTATTACTGAAATAACGTATTGGACGACTTACAGAACTCATTTGGCGGTCTGTATGCGCATACACCGACAGGTTATTGAGCTCTAAAAGAAATTCTGAGCCCGGGTTGTGAACATTAAATTTACAATTTAAGGTTGTTCGTTAGGATTTTATTTCGTAACGAGACCGGCTGTACACCAGTTTTCGGCCTACAAATATTTATTTTTGATGATAAATAAAGTGCATCTATGATTTAGAACACTTTCCTAACCTAATTCTCTCGATTGTGTTTGCACTACCATTCCATTTCAGAAACGCTCTTGTTGTTCATATTTGCTTTTATGATTAAAACCTACTGGCGCAACAGCAGCTGCTTAACTTAAGAATTGCTTCACCTACAACTAAATTTGAAGGTGCGACTATAGTTTGTAGCAGCACTGTATCAGGTTTATATTTTAAAAGCTGGTTGAACGTGCTTGTTTTCTATATCCATTTTCTTAGAGAATATAATAAAATAAAAGAACGCAGCACGACATCGTTAAAAAAGAAAAAGAATGTGTGGGGTGTTGAGGTCAATCGGATGGCATCCGAATCATTTCCGCTTTCTGACACTGAGTTGCTACCAGGACGGATATGGCAATCTCCGAAATGCGTTTGTAGCGTGGATAATGCTTGAGTACAGAGACAACTTTGTTTCATTTTCCGTTGCTTTCAAGGTCGCCAAAGACGCCGTTGAAGACGCTAAGACCGCGATCCGTACTGCTAACCAACCACCTCTAAAATAATTCACCGCAGAGCTGCGTGAGCGACTGGGGATTGCATTCACGCAAATCGAGTACCGAGGAGATGCGCACATCAAATTTCAGGAATACGTTTAACGCTGTTGGGGGGAAATACGAGACAACTCCTGACGACTATAAAGCGCCGTATGTGGCATTCATACAGAGCTCTGGATTTGGTAAAAGTCGTTTACTATGGAAGCTGTCACGGATGACGAGTCCTGAGCTACACGGAACAGCGCAAGTATTGTACACCTGCGTGCGTGTCGGTCAATCGAGTGGGTTTCCTGAGGCTACGTGAACCCTCTGACAATGGCTTTCAAGGACCGCCACACTTTAGCGGGATGACGTCGTGTCTGGAGGTAATATTCGACAACGTTCAACAGATCTAGGAGAGCGTTAGTTCAGAATGTCTCGGTCAGCTTACTAGCATTGATTCCGATGTTATGGACGCGCTGCATGGGGTTGAACGAGTGCGAAAATATAATCACCCGAGGGCTATCGTGGACAGCAAAAAAAAAAAAGACTGGTGATTTTAGCTATCGATGAAGCCAGAGAACTGGTCACGAAAACTCACAATGGATTTAATAAGCTTCGCTTGCTGCAACTCGCGCTCAATAGTGCAATTCAAAACATCCAGAAGTGCTATCGCCATGCCGGTGGTTTTGCTGTCATGGTAGACAAAAGTCCAGAAATTGATCAACCATTAAACAGCGAAGATATCGATACGAGCAGATAATGATGTCCCGTTGTTCTGCCTTTTGTGCTTGCACATACGATGGATGTCTACTGGAAGGATGAGGGCCACACTAAACCGATATTCGCTTACAAAGATGCCGTGCGTCCTGGCGATAAAGACGAAGCCTGGAAGCAACTTGTTTCAATAGGTCGACCACTCTGGAAGAGTACATTTGATGCGTCAACGAGGAAATATAACAACGAAGTAATAGCGACTCAAAGCGTCCTTAGTCTTGCAGTACGGAAGATGTTGCTAGGAAGAGATACACGTTACCTGAAATGCTAAGATGAAATGACCATGTTTGGAGTCGCTTCGATGCTGTGTCGACTTGGGCTGCGTCCATATTCAAGTTCTTCACTAGTGTATCGTGCGGTGGCCGATTTCATGGCGATTCTGGCCTACGTGAATTATGGAAATAACGAGCATTTGAGTAGTTACTCGTCGGAACCAGTACTGGAGCTAGAAGCCACAAAGGTGTGGTACAGCTGCAGTCTTGCGTTGTTGAGCTGTATCCTGCCACAGCCCAAGAAGTTGCTAGTTAACAAGATGATGGACATTGGTGGCGTGGATGATGTAATTGCACGCATTGCCCTACTTCTCACGATGGATTCTTGCGTAGTGGAGACGGAGATCGCGGCTCAGAATCATCACAATTGTCAGTTCACGGGGCAATTCGTAAGCGTGGGGCTTTTCATGAAGGCACTAGTTGGTCCTGATCCAAATGTAAAGATGGAGAGACAAACTACTGAAGACGAGACAACATCGGCTTCTTTTAAGAGTTGGCAATCCAAGTGGGACTGCTGGCAACTGGGTTTCTGACATTTCTTTTAACTATTTTCCGAGACAGCGGAAGGATTGTGTTGGGTACTACTGGGGTGTCGTGTAGCTGGGATGTTTCCTCGAGATCTACACGAAGGCAGATTTGGTAATCCCTATTTTTTCACAAAGGAAAGGAGGCGTCACTGATTCCGGTTCAAGTGAAGTCCAAAAACTGAGAAATACAAAATCAGTTCGTTCTATACGAGCGAAACCAATTACCAACCAACGTCGCGGTTGCAGATACTGTGGATGCGCTCACACTGTGTTTTGGCTCGCTGCAGCTTTGGTTGCTTTCTGGAAAGAACTCTGGGGATACAGCGTTGCTACCCGTTATTCCTGAGGCTACTGCTGTGTGAACAAATTGGAAGAATGGTTTCGCCTCTTTGGGATCCTATTGCTCTTGTGTGCAATGACTTGGACAACAGAGCGGGAGTGGGAGTGAAGCACTGCATTGAGCCACGCACATCTGAGGATATGCCAGGCGAAACACTACTGGAGATCTCACCCCAGGCAATTATGTACGATACTTTTGGTTGTGGGAAGCGATACTAGAATTAAAGGGAAGCCAGCGCCACCGTTAAGTTAGTTCTTCACGGAGCAAACACCACAGTTACGCTGTGTTAATTGCGGCCACGAGTCCAAAAACAGCTTTATTGCGTATTGGCGTCTTCACGTACAGTTATGCACTGTGTTGATTTGGATGCACTTCAAGATCCATTTGGTACTTATTGTATCAGTGTGCATGCTAAATGGCGAGACACACGCTGTGACTTCAGAAAAATGCGCCATTTGAAATGCGAGAAAAAAGATTGATAGTGTGTCTCTCTCATCACTCTTGAAGTAGGCAATGCGACAGCAACAGCATTAAGTAAGCGGGCCATATCTTTTGCGACGCTTGCATCAGAGAGAACACGCCTTGTCTGTCTGTGTGGCGACGACGTTATGCTACAGGCGCCACTGCACGCGCCGACGTTGTGGTTGTAGATCCATACGCTTTCGATGCGATGGTATGCCATTCCTGATACCGCAAAGTCTTCCTAATGTTCCATTCGTTAGTCGTGGACTAAGATTTTCGCTAAGTTTTTAGATCATCAAGTCGGATCGAGTGGTATTAATAGCAATAGTGTACTTACTTGACTCGCGATGTGCTTGCTTATCGGGTCGGGCTTCAACTTGTAAAACAGCTGGTAGCAGCAGGAGATGTACACGCATGTATGTCGCTGCGCTTCAAGCACCAAATCGGAGACCAGACTGATCGGTGTTGTCCAAAAATCGCTGCGTTACGCTGTGATGATCAAGCAGCAGCAGCTTAACGGAACGCAGTAACAGCAACGTGGTGTAGTGGAGTTTGCCACAGCCTGACAGCCGCAAGATCCGCGTCCTCTCCGTGTTTCGCCGTACCCTCGCGGAAGAGTATCTTGCAGTCGTCATCGTCCATCGATCGCGTACGTGCGCACCCCTTCGCCAAGCCACCGATTTTCCTGCCTGCATTTTCCTCCGGAAGTGCGCCCGTCACGCCTAAAGGCGACAATAATCCGAAAACTGCCTGTCGACAATTATGAGCAACGTGACAAGCCACACGAGCCTCTCTATCCTCCGAGTCAAGAGGAACAAGACAGTCAACTCGGCACCTTGTCGCAGACATCGCATCAGTCTATTGTGCCTGTACCCATCGTCTTCTGCAACACTTGCGTCCTTTCTGGTCTCTTTTCGACCAATCGCCCGCCTTCCAAAGCTCGCTCGCAGCTACAATTGCACGACACGGCTCCTTACCGGAAGCCGCCTCTTTCCCTCAGTACGGGGCCACTCTAATCCCCAGCGTTTCGCGTGCGCCAACGCGAGCCACTCGGCCCCGTTCACTCTTCGATTCCTCCGTCGCAGGATACATCCAGGCAGCGACGAAGCCCGGCAGGTTTTGACCACCTGCAAGCGTTAAGAAAGCTCGACTGGGGAAAAAGGCAAACACCTAACCTACCCCATACATTCATTCAGTCTTCAAGTTGCACGCAGCTGACCAATTCCGCACTGGGGGCAGCGAATTCTGCACTCTGTTATGCTCGAGTTTCCCCTGCACGATGGCTTCTTCCCGCAGATAGCGCTGAGTCGAGAGGAGGTGAAGTACTACAAGCGGCTGGGTAAGGAGCGCGTGACGCAGCTTATCCGCATCATTGAGGACGCTGACTGTGCGTACAAGTGGAGCAGCACCGATGGCTCCGCGCACCGCAGCCATAGATCGCGGATCCCGGGGCGGTCCCGCCTCAGTATCGAGACTAAGGACGAGCCTTCCGTTTCCTGCCAACGCGCCAACTTCCTGGACTTCCAGCCGTCCAACAAGTCCACACACGCGTCTACGTTGCTCAAGGCCAGTGTACAGCTGACCGACACGAAAGTGGACGAGATCTTACGAGCTGTCGCGAAGGTCAAGACGAAAGACTTCAGGAAGGCCATGCGGTATATGCACGGCGACGCGTTTGTGGACGGCAGGACGTTGTTCACCTTCCCGCAACATTCGGCACGATCTGGCAGCGACGCTACCGATAGAACGCCATCTAGAGCGTCGTATTCGTATCGTGCCATAAAGTGGCATGCCTTTAAGACCCACCGACCGCGACATGGAGAAGACGAGAAGATCTTGGATTTCTGTTATTTGGAGTACGCAGGAAAGAAAAAGCCGCATCCTGGCTCGAGTGTCGTGGGGTTCTGTGTCCAGGAATCGATTTCTAGAGATCGAGAGGTACCAACTTTGGAGAATTTCGGTATTGCGAGGGGGTATCTGTCCCGAATGGGCATCATAGTGTCGAAAACGCACCAGCCGAACACGTTTAAGGTGACTTCGATCTGCCAGATTGACGGGGATCTCAATCCAATTGTACGTGGAGTATTAGAAGAACTTATGAAGAAAACTGTATGTGCAGTAGCCAAGATTCCGGGGCTTGTGGCACGACAGAGAGTGAGCAGTCTACGATTCGTGGAGCAGTGGCAGTGGGTTCCCAATTCGGACCGTAAGGCGTGTGCGGTTTGCCTACGAGGGTTTTATTTCCGTCGCAAACACCATTGCCGAACTTGTGGCGAAGTGGTGTGTTCGTCATGTGCTTTGTTACGAGAACTGGAGGAGCCGATCTTTGATATCACCCACTTACGCGTGTGTTCTGCCTGTATGACAAGCGCTGGAGCACGACAACAACAGCTCTCGGCGGTGAGTGCTACAGGTACAGGAGATGAACCGGCGTCGTCTACTTCTAACGACACGGAGTCGTACATTCGAGGCCTGCGTAGTCCGCAGCACAATTCTTATGAGGATATGATCTTCCACATGCGCGAATCTCGAGATCGTGACCGTCGACAGAGTGATCTGGCTATGGAAGTGCTGGAAGCGTCAGATACCGAGCTGAAACCTGCCAATCCTGCGCGTAAAATCGACGTCAGTCCGCAGTCACGTGCTCAGGACAAGATGCAGGCGCTCACGGATGTTGTGACGCATATTCGCGAAGTTCGAGACACGATTAACCTCACAATGTCCGAGGCAGCATATGGAGAGCGACAGGATGAACATAGTGATGTGACGGAAGAGTACAATGACATGTACAGCGAGATCACGAGCATTCGTGAAGCATTGGAGAGCTCCGTATCAAATTTTGATGCTGCACTAGCGAATGCTACGAACGCAGCGCCTGCAATGTATTACTCTGGGCCAAGTGACCGCAGTCAAGATTCATTCCGTGATGGTGGGAATGGTGAAATGACACCCGATCAGTTTAATTCGGTTGCTCGTATCACATTCGCTGCAGCCAAAGCAACAAGACAGGCTGGTCAGGCTTTCTTGTCCGTAGGAGAGCGGCAACAACGTCAATCTCTCGTTGCTATTGACACTGGAGATGACCAAGAACTCGATGATGATGCATCGTCTGTGGGCTCGGCATCAATTGCGAGTTATCCGACCGACAGTGACGACAGTTCGATGCATGACCCAGACCCATACTCAGCTTCGAACTACGAGAAAATCATGGCCACGTACCAGCCCGAGCACGACGATGAGGATGAGGACGATAGACACTCGTCACATAACTTTGCGGCCTCCGTACGCCGCGCAACCGAGATCCATGAGCTGGAGAAGAAAATCCTCGATCTGCAGCGCAGTCTCGAAGACGCGCAGCGGAAACTATCAGTTATTGACAGTGACGAGCCCGAGCCTGAAGCACGAGCCCGTCAGAGATTAGACGCCGTGCGTGATCGCTCAGCTCGGATGGAAATTGAAAGCGTATTCGAGATCTTCGGCGATCGCGGCGACGACAACAATCCTATACTCGGAGATGCAGCCTCCTCCGTTTCCTCGGGCCCTAGGGCAATGTCGTTGCCTTCTGACGCGATGGGGTCGAGAGGCTTAACGACACAAGACCTGGTATCTGAACTACGTGGTGTGATGGCCTCCAGTGAGACTCCCGTACGAGCTAGCGGTGGCTCCAAGAAGTCTCTGTCGAGGTCATCGACGCCTCCACTGCCTCCTACAGTGACTAAGGCCCCAATCAGTCCCCCTCCACCCCCACCACTACCGGAATCTCCTCACAAAATTCGTCACTCGCTACCAGCTAAGCCCAAAGTTAATGGTGGTCTAAATGACAGTCACGAAAGCACCAAGAAGAAACAAACACCTGGTACCAACGGAACATATATGGCTCCTTCTGAAGGCTCCTATTTGCAAGCTTTAGGTACTACTGGTGGCACCAGATACGGTGACGATGACTACGCCTCGTCATCGTCTGATGAGGAAAGCTACGATGACTCGTCCGACAACTTGTCGCTGCTCAGCAGTGATGATCTCCGCGAGCCTCAATTCAAGAAATACCAGGGACCCGACGCGTTCTTTGTGGAGGAGGATCTGGGGGCCTTGCTCAAGAAGAGGAAGGCCGAAGCTGGGACGTCATCCCCCATTAACCCAGCGGACTCGCCATCTTCACCGCTTCCTTCAGTTGGTCGAGACGAACGTGACGAGCTTCGTGAACTCATGGCAGGACTGGTTCGTCCTCGTAGTTCCTCACTCCCATTCCAGTCAAAACAAATGGGTGGCGCATCGTCTGGCGAGCCCCTTTATGACTTTGAGAAGCCCTCGTGGAGCGACGATGCTCCTGACCGCGTCCCGACAGCACACCAAGTGGACGAAGCCGTACGTGAGATCCGTGCGTGCCTGGCCAGCTGCCGCTGCGAGTGCCCGTCCGACACGGAACGAGCACGCAAACTCACTTCCATTTTCAAAGTACTGCGGTCTCTGCACCGCGAGGGCGTGCGCTCCAAGTTCCGTACGCTGCAGCACGACGATATTCGCTACGCTAAGATGCTTAAGGCGACACCCAGCATTATCAAGCTACTAAAGCTCGCTGGTTATGTATCTCTACAGCAGAAGCTTACTATGCGGCGAGTAGATCAGGACTACCTCGCGTTATTCCTACGTGAATTGGAGCAGGAGCTCCACTCTTCCGCTGTTGTATGAATTGAGTGAAATAGCGATCATCCAAGTGCAGACTACACGAGACTACAAGTACAAGATGACAAAACTACAAGAGTAAAAGCATAGAGTACGTACTAAAATTTACAACTCAAATACTTCGAAGTAAATATGTTGTTGGATTGAAAGCACGGATAAAACCCTCCAGCGCTATCATAGCATGCAACCGTGCAAACACGATGAAGTACAAACGCAGACGGACCAGGACAAGATGTTACAAAGTTCCTTTGTGGTACAGTGGACAACGCCAGCCAAACGTAATTTAGAGGCCGACCACCGGTCGGGGCAACCGAAGCGAGGTCCTCTTCATGAGTTTATATACAACATTATTCGCCACAAGTCCAGCTGCATCCGCAAATGCTAAGTAACGACACCATATCGCGAATTGTATGCTACGAGGCTTCGAAGTAAAAATCAAATAAACACCAGATATGTAAGTGCGCACGAGCTTAAACCCTTTGTTAAAACAAAAAGTTAAAAGTTTCACTATCTGACCAAAGCCTTGCTGCATATTTTGCACTGCGAAATATACTAGTGGGTTAACCACGAATACAGAATTGCGATTACGATATATAATGCATGTACAATTAGGGTAATCAACCATATTATCTCGCACAACATTTAGCTGACATCAAATTTTAAGCTGCATGTTGAGCAAAAGTAGCATGTTTAAAGCATATTTTGGCGTCAAGTTGTCCGTATCTGATAGTTAAGGGCTATCGGTCTTGGTCTCAAACTCGCAAGATTGCTAGCGAGGGCTTAACATCTGCCGTGCATCTGGCATTTCGTGAGCTAAAGGAGAAGAGTGTACTCTGTCGCTTCTAAAGGTTCATTTGTACAATTGGTAACGTCATCGAATTAAAGCAGCATAAACTAGCCCAGAAGGCAGCCTAAACGCAGGTTGTCAAACCCCAAGACGAAGTAACAAGAGAAAACTGGTAGATTGTTTTTTTTTTTTTTGTAGAATCCGTTCATCGTTGTATTTTTGCAGTCTGTTTGACCCAGTTTGACCCATACAGATTGTATCGCACTGCGCTACCTCAAAGCTATTTGCACTCGCCGCAGGATCACTGCACTAGCAAAATGGTTGGAAGCGGCAAGTTGAGATTACAATTTTTGTCTGGAATCCAATATGTCTAAAACTACGGGATTTGGCCTATCTCACCGCTTCAATTGCGGCTGATTCGAAACGTGAAAAACTTACTAGAGCTTGCTAAAATGTTCAACAGTACAGATTTACGAATGTACTGGAAAAAAAAACCGGAAATTAGCATTTTATACCCGATCAAATAGGCTTGTAATGCTTCTGCTATCTAATTCGTTGTAGTACCACCCGAGGTTGGCGCTTCGAACGAAGGTTGGAACTTGTTCTGCATGTCAAAAAGTGTTGGACTGTCGGTTTTCAAAGAGTGTCGCTAATTGACGTCGTTTTTCACTTCTCTATTTTATATAGTTTGTTCCCATAGTACCAGAACGTGATGTTGTCCATTGGTCCGCTAGTATCTTGGTGAAGCCTGCAGAATCGAGGGTTCTACTAAGAGCATTTCCACTAGTTCCGACAAAACCTCGATAAAATTTTTAAGAGATTCTTATGCTACACTAAGTACATTCAACTACGCACGTGACTGAATCTCTGATATTTAATTCTGGTAGTTTTTGCTAGATGAAAGAAGTGTATTCTCAGCTAAGTCGAAGTTGGCACATCAACCCTGAATTACTACACGTTTGAACATCTCGGACCCGCGGTGAGTATATAATCAGTGACCCTTATTAATTAATTGAAATCTGGTACATTCCACGTAATTGAAGATTATCACAGGTATTGTCCTCGATGTTGACCACTACTTGCGCTGCGGTCAACATTCAGGACAATACCTGTATTCAGCAGCTGAATCAGCTCGGTGAGCTCTTCATTTCTGTGCTACCGTCCGACACTGCAACCGTGGTGATCTAGAGTACTACTCACATGTCATCTTAGCGTAGTGTTTTATGTTTCTCCTTAGCGTCACGTGTGCAATGGTGATGCCGGAGTGACCGTGAAAGATCAAGTCGAGCTTCCCGCATTGAGTAGAATGATGCTGAGGACCTCAACTTGAAGTATTATAATAGCAATATGGTCTCAGGGGGTATTGCCAGTCTTAAGAAGATCACTTCTCAATTTCCTTTCAAGATCACAACTGACAGGACCAAAAGTATGATCAAGTCGTGGCTTGGTGTAGTGTGCTACACTGCACTGGTTCTTGGTGGCAACCTTGCTATTGCTGACGAATGGGACGCCCAAGTCGAAGAGATCATGGCCAACTTCACTACTCTCGACATCGTGGGCCAGATGACCCAGATCTCCGCTTACACACTGATCGACTACTACGGAGACCTCATATTCAGTCGAGAAAACATGCTCCCATACGCCAAGCTTCACGTGGGCTCATACTTGAGTCCTCCCATGTCAGTCATGGGGCAACTGAACGGATCCTGGGGCTGGAACACTTCTACGATGCGCGAGTTCGTCACCAGCGTCCAGGAACTCGCAATGGAAGAGAACGGAGGACATCCTATCCTCTACGGCACGGACTCTGTTCACGGCAATGCCTTTATGTTGGACACGGTTTACTTCAGCCACCAAATCAACGGAGGTGCCTCGTTCAACCCGGACTTGGTCTATGAGCAAGGCCGAGTCACCGCTCGCGACACGTTGGCTGCTGGAATACCCTGGTCCTTCGCTCCTATTCTCGACATCTCGCACAATCCGTTGTGGCCGAGAACCCACGAGACGTTCGGCGAAGACCCGTATCTTGCTTCAGTCATGAGCGATGCCATTGTCCGTGGGATGCAAAGTATCAACCATACCGCTGCGTGCATGAAGCACTGGATTGGGTACTCTTGGACCCCCACGGGCCACGATAAGGATGGGGTTACTATATCGGACTTCGATCTACTCAACACCTTCGTCCCATCATTCAAAGCTGCGGTGGATGCCGGCATCATGACTGGAATGGAGAACTACATCTCCGTCAACGGTGTCCCAATGGTCGAAAACACCAAGTTACTCAAAGACTTGCTTCGAAAGGACCTCGGTTTCGACGGCATGATGGTGACTGACTACAATGAGACCAATGCTCTTCATAACTTCCATCGTACTGCTCGAACAACTGCAGAAGCTACCAAGATGGTTCTTGAACGGACGTCGATCGATATGAGTATGGTGGGGTCTGAGTTCACCTTCACGAACGGCACAAACGCTCTGATCGAAGAGGAACCGGAGATCATGGACCGTCTCAAAGAATCCGTGCGTCGTATCATCAAGCTAAAGCTCAAGTTGGGTCTGTACGACAACCCGGTGCCTGGTGAAGAGTATCTGGATTTGGTGGGTAACGATGACGACGTGGCTGCTGCGCTTGAGTTGGCTCGAGAGTCAATCACTTTGCTGCAGAACAACGACAGCGTACTACCCATTCCAGCTGGTGCATCGGTGTTCTTAACTGGCCACTCTGCAGACAACATCGGTTATCAATGTGGAGGCTGGACAGTTCAAGCAAAGGGTGTGTCTGGCAACGACATGTTCGCGCACGGATCGTCAGTAAAGCAAGCCTTCGAGAAGATCGCTACAAGTGGTTCAGTCACCTACTTCAACGGGTTGAACGTCACTGGAAGCTACACGGACGAAGACCTCGCAACAGCTAAGGAATATGCTTCCAAAGCTGAGTACACCATCGCTGTTATCGGTGAGGATACGTACGTCGAAAAAGCTGGCGATCTCGACGATCTGACACTACCTGAAGGCCAAATTGAGTACGTGAAGGCGTTGGCTTCGACGGGCTCCAAGGTCATTGTAGTGCTCTTCGAGGGCCGTCCACGCTTGCTTGGTGATCTTCCACAACATGTACACGCCGTGATTAACGGGTTTCTTCCTTGTACGCTCGGTGGCCAGGCAACAGCAGAAATTATCTACGGAGAGGTGAATCCCAGTGGACGTCTGCCAATCTCGTATCCGAAGCACTCCGGCAACGTCATGATCCCGTACAGGCACCGCGTGAGTACAAAATGCGCTTCGGGTGACTATTGTGAGTACCAATGGGATTTTGGCTCCGGCTTGAGCTACACGAACTTCACCTACTCGGGTCTGACTCTGAGCAAGACCAACGTGACGTCCAGCTCTGATTGCATTAATGTGTCCGTCACGGTGACGAACTCTGGTCATCTGGCAGGCAAGGAGACCGTGATGCTGTTCCTGACTCAACCGTACCGTTCGCTGTCGGTACCGGAAGCGAAGCAGCTCAAGAAGTTCTCGAAGATCAGTCTGGACGCAGGAGCATCGCAGACCGTGGCTTTCCAGCTGACGGCAGCGGATTGGAGTGTGTATTACCCTCAGATTGGTAAAGGCCTGAAACTCGTTGCAGAGGATACTGACTACGTGATCGCCATCAAACCCGAGACGGACTGCGACGTGTACAACGAGCTTGCAGAGGATAACCCGCTATGTGCGAAGTTCACGCTTGCCACTGGTGAATACCCGTTCGGTTCGCTGGTATCCGAGTAGCTTTTGAAGAAGAAAAACGTTGTGTTTAGCTTACGAGTCTCAGTAATGAGTCTTGTAGCTACAAAGTAAGAGAACAATCCAATGTCACGTCTTGAAGACCTTGTCGAACCATAAATCGGATCCACTTGGTCGCTGACAGTGTGTTTTAAACAGATAAACGGTCTCTTGGTATCATACAGCAGTAGAAGCACCGTGTGGCTTCTGCATGTACTTTGGTGGCACTCTCGGTTCAAATGGTGGCAATACAAACGCAGTAAACCAGAACGCGTCCTGCCTTCCCAGTAGGCGCCCAAGTGCGTGACGTACAGACGCGACACTAACGGAGAGTCGTTTCCTGTCTCCTTCGTGCTGCATGAACTCGATCGTGCTCTGCTCCGTGAGTACCAAGTAGACGTGCCATCCCCAATATCCGCATATCACCACACCAACCACACTTGTAGCCATGAACGAGAACAGAACCTTAAACCGGTCCAACACCACTCTCTCTCGTCCTGTAGCTGAAGCCTCATCCGCACTCGTCGTGAATGTCGCTACAAACAGCCTAGCCGACAGCATCGCCACGTACAAGCAGCTCACCCAGATGTACAACAGCAGCAGCCAAAAGTGACCTACAATCACTCTCAATTAGACCTTATAAATGGACGCGTACAGTGACTCTTCAAACTCCACACTTACGGTAGTTGTAGTACCCTACGCAGTTGTTAATCCAAGGGCAATGGTGATCCATCTCGTAGACGCATCGTTGACACTCGCGACAGTGATGTGCCCTGCGCGGCTTGACCCGCTCACAGTGTTGACAGAAGCGCTGATCTCCATCTGCAACGCCGGACTCGACCAGATGCCGCTGGTCCACGTAGCCAGGGTCGCTCCAGATGGCCAGCGAGTACTGTAATAGCAGCTCGCAGGCCAGGAAGATGCTCAGTATCAAGTGTCCTGGGCTGTCCGCTGGCAGAAACTTGGTGAAGTGGACGAATGCAATGCCCAGAATGAGTCCGTAGCCCACGACCACGAAAAGCGGGCCCAGCAGCGCTATGCTCGTCATAACCATACAGCTCCAGCTGACCTACACTTGTCGCCAAGTCGCATGTATCATGTTGCACAGGGTCACATAAGTCACGCCACGATTTCGGATATAAAACGTATATTATCGGATACCACTACACACCTACATTCCCGTAGCCATTCTTTTACATAGGATAAAGAAGTCAGCGCTTGTTTGAAAATACAAAGAGCTGGCCACTATTTGGGTATTTTTCGGCAGTCGACAATTCTTTATACGAGGTCTTTCTATACGTGGTATACGCGTTACTGCCCAGCCCAAGGACCGCGCTTCCCGCCCACCCAAGCAAGACCGGACCCCCCAGCCAAAGAGCAGACGTCCAGCCAAGTCGAGGGCGAGGGGAGCGAGGACTGGAAACCAAAGGCGACCACTGCGTACGATAGACGCCACCAGGGGCGCGACCTTCGCTCGGAAAAACCCGAGAAAAACTGCAGCCATCAATCAGACCGTCGCGTATACTAAACTACACCCAAAGGCGCAAGAAGGAGAAGGAAAATTAATAAGGTGAGGAGACCAGCAAGCAGTAAAACCGCGATGGATGGAGAGGGACGGAGAGGGAGGAGCCACGAGCTCCAACACGCAGTGTGCAACTTGCTACCGAAGCTTCGGTCCCCTCTTTCCTCTCTCAAGCAGAGGACACTCACAGACGTCTCTTTATCCATTCGTCGCTGGTCAGACAACCTGAAGAGAGTTAAGCTGTTAAGTTGCTGACCTTATATTGATGTATTTGTTGCCAGACGGAGGATATTTTGTGTCGTGACGCGGTATTGTGTTGATGACGATGGAGTTTGCGCCTACTAGTGCGCCCTCGGGTCCAAACAAGCGCCCGTACACTGAGAAGGACAGTGGCAATGACCAGGCGTCTGGACTCAATCTCTTTCGCTTTGGAAGCTCCAGCGACTTCTTCATGAAGTACAACGAGGAAGAATTGACTGCAGCCTCGTCCCCCACAGGAAGCGACAATAATCCCAGCAACGACGCTTCAAGCAGTGCCACTGAGGCCGCTAGCAATGACGTGCTGCCTCCTCGTTCCAACCAAGAGACTCACGAGCAGGAGAAAGCCAGCAATGCTGAAGTAACCAAGGTATCGAGTGAACGACCTATCGAGATCAAAGTCCGCAAGGCCCGCCAACCCATGGAGATGCTGCCGTCACACAACAGTCGACGCAAAAACAGCATCGAGATGTTTCTGTCGCAGTCGCCAAGCCAGGCGTTGGGTGGAGATTTCCTTAAACTCAGTCTTGATGACCGTCAGATGAGTCTCCAAGCGAACGAGCGTGCTACGAACGTCAGCAATGGCGTATCGACTAGTGCGAGCGCTGCTGGGAACGTCAATTCGTACGCTTCGGGTCAGTTCCAGCTCAATCCGGTACAGGAATCCCCCAATGAGTATGGACTGGCTGGTCGGTATCGTCAGCCGCAAGCTGCTCAGCAGGAACGATTCCGAGGCGGCCGTGACGCGCAGCAGCCGCATATGCCAACATCGCTGTCTCTATCGCGTTCAAGTACGGTGCCAGGGACCAGCAGTGCGCCTAATGCTGCATACAACGGAGCGTACACGCTGAGTCCGCGCATGTCGTCTGAAGACTCGTGGTCGGGTAGCCAGGACGGTGACAATAATGCCTTGTATCAAGAGCAGATGCACGACTACTATGGCAACCAAATGGCTCCATCATACGCACTGGAACAGCAGCAGTATCGTCAGCAGCAGTACAGGTCGCCGCAGACTGCTAACGGGTCGTATGGCTATGGTAACGCGCCATCTCGAGCTCAAATGGCTTCGGGTCAGTGGAACCCGATGGTTGTGGGGCCACACCCGCCTGCTGGGATGTACGATGTTGCGGGTAACAACATGTACATGAACCCACGCTCGAGTCCGATGAGGCACCCGCACGCGCAGATGGGATACGCTTCGCAGCAGCAAGTGGCCATGGGAATGCGTGGCGGCCACACGAATAGCCGTGCTCATGGACGTAACATGTACTCGCGCATGACGCCGCCGCTCCCCGAGGCGTCTCCGCCTCACTCGCCTCGCAAAAATATGGGCATGCAGATGGGCATGAAGCAGTGCAAGTTTTTCCTGCAGGGCCATTGCCGTATGGGCAGCAAGTGTAAGTTCGTGCACCAGGGTGGAGCTCAGACTCCGGAGCATGTGGGCCACTCAGCTCGCCAGAATGCGTCGATGATGTACCAGCAGAGGATGATGATGTCGCCCCCTCCGTCTCACATGATGCAACAGCAGCGTCATCACGGTGATGACCTCGGCCATGGATCGTTTGGAGGACGCCAATCTCGGATGTATCGCTCGGAAAACGCTGGTGCTAACGGCATGAGTTTGGGCTTGATGAACGGCGGCAGTATGAGTGCGCCGATGATGGGCGGTTCGGCTAATGACCCGTCGAGTTTGAGTGCTGCGTTGAGTGTGGAGGACATTCAGAACCGCGTCTTCGCTATGTCGAAGGACCAGAATGGCTGCCGACTGCTGCAGGAGCAGCTCGATTATGAAGATCGTGCCGATCTGTGTGAGGTGATCTATCAGGAATCACTCGAGCATCTAGCAGAGATGATGGTGGATCCGTTTGGGAACTACCTGTTCCAGAAGCTTCTGGAACGTGTGAACGAGAAGCAACGACTTGTGATTATCCGTCGTGTGAGCTCGAATCTTGTGGCTGCTGCGCTGAACCTGCACGGAACGAGATCGGTGCAGAAGGTGGTGGAAGTGTGCGCAACGTCACCGGACGTTATTGAAGAGGACTATGAGGATGAAGAGGGGGAAGATTATGGCTATGTACGTGAGGAACGCCCTGAAGGAGGACGCCGGACGACCAGCCTGCCTGATCTGATTGTGGAGGCGCTCAAGGACGACGCTGTGCGTCTGTGTATCGACTCGAATGGCAACCACGTGATCCAGCGCGCGCTGCAGTTTATGAAGCCCGAATACAACCAGTTTGTGTTCGATGCGGTGTGTAAGGAGTGCACGACTGTGGGCACGCATCGCCACGGATGCTGTGTGCTACAACGTTGTCTGGACGCGGCGAATAAGACGCAGAAGGCGGAGGTGATTGAGCAAGTGGAGCGCCAGGCCATGAAGCTGATGCAGGATCCATACGGCAACTACGTGGTGCAGTACGTGCTGGATTCGTGTACGGCTGAAGAGGCCTTCGGTGTCATTATGAAGCCATTGGGCCACATCTACGAGCTGTCAGTGCAGAAATTCAGCTCGAATGTGATCGAAAAGTGCCTCGAGAAGGCCCCCGAACGCGTGCGTCAAAAGTACATTGCGGAGATCACGAACTGTCCCAAGATGAACAAGATGCTGCAGGATCAGTTCGCCAACTACGTGGTGCAGCGTGCGTTGTGCGTGTGTGCTGAGGAGCAGTGTCTGTTGCTGGTGAAGGCCATTCGTCCTCATCTGGCGGCTATGAAGAACACTTCGGGAGGTCGTCGTATCACGGCGCGTATCCTCAAGCGCTTCCCGAATATGGACATCAGTATGGATATGGGCATGTCGCCGACTGCCGACAACTTGTTCGATAATGGCAATACGATGATGATGGGCCACTTGCCCGCGTCGACTATGGGCGGCAACTACATGCCTCAACAGCATCTGCAGCCCAACCAGATGTACGCAATGCAGGGTGGACGCATGGGCTTTCAAGGAGGCAGTCGTGACAACCGCATGCCGCCGATGCACGGCAATGACGGCAGTATGATGATGCTGAACGATGTGGGCGGCATGGGCATGAACGCAACGAGTCGTGCGTAAGGAGAGATTATTTGTCACGCAAGTGGCTGACGGCGTACAACGGTGGAATGAAAAGTATGAACCAGCAGTTAGGGGAATGGAGCGTGTGGTGTATGAGCAAGAGAGACCTGAGAATTGCTGGGACGCGCAACAGGAAGGACGCGTGGGTATGATGACGGAGGCAAACTAGTGACAAGGAAGCAGGAAACAAGGATCCAAAAGTTTTGCGCGTTTGTAGATAAGACACGATACAAAAAGAGGAAAATGCATGTTTAGGACTTGTATCAAAGAAACAAGGACGACGTAAAGGTGGCCGAGTGGACGTGAAGGCGAGAAGCGACAGTATGCTGTACAAGTAAGCCGCCGCTCTGCTGCCGGGCTACGACACAGGCGATAAGAAGAAAAAAAAATGACCATAACAATGAACGAAGAAGCTTTTGAAGGAACATGCAAGCGTCTATGGGCGTGTAGTTTTGCCATCAATACTTGTAGCGGTGGATGGACTCTAGGTGGCTGACGGAGCGTGGGCTCTTGGGGCGAGTATCGTCCAATCTACCGGACTTGCAGGCGTAGATCATCAATACCAAGCTCAACAGCGCCTTGAATGCTGCCAAACAGAGGAAGAAAGCCACCGTAACCAGTACCCCTCCAGGTGATGCGAACTCAATTGGAGCTTCTACCAACGCCTTCGACACCATTCGCAACACGACACAAGCTAGGGGCAACGACATCAACCCCAAGCGCTTGGACACGTGGTGGGTGTGATCCAGAATCGTATCCTCGCTCTTCCAGCCTGTCAGATCGCGGCAAAGAATGGTGATGAACTTGGAGTACATCGTCGGTGGAAGCTGGTTGAACTTTGTGATGAAGGCGTGCTTAAGCCAGTCAATCAGCATCTCGGCCACCCAAACCATTGCCTGTGAATAAAAAATATAATACTGTTAGAACACAACTACGCAAGGAAAATACTAGATAAAGCGTACCGTTCCCCAGGCAACATCTCCCGTTGACGACTGTAGCAGGATAAGTCCGATAATGGTCAGAAGCTTAAAGCGCTCGACGATATCGCTGCAGCTGATCTGGAAGAGATTCTGCTCCTCGAATTTCTTGAAAACTGAGCTTTTGAGCTCCGCGAAGTTGTTGGAAATCAGCAGCGTGAGCAGCGAAGTGTTACTCGAATTGACGGCGACATTCAAAGTGACTACTTGCGCGAACAGCAGAAGTGAGTGCAGCACGACGTAGATGATCGCCACCGCGAAGTCCAGGAACATGCGCGTGACTCGGCGTGGGTGGTACTTCGCAGTATAATACAGCGAGTCCAGTACATCTTGTCCAAGCGAAGAGAATAGCCGATCGAAGATTTCGATCATCGTAAACAGCACGTAGAGCTTGATCATCGCCTGGCCTCGAATGGCATGGTAGACTCTCGACATGTCCACGTAACCCAACACCGTTGTGCCCACTGCTATGATGACTGCTACCATTAAGTCGTAGAAGTGCGTTCTTCGGAACACTCTTGCATGGAAACTCGACGTTACAGCGCATCCACACGCGAATAGAATTCTCAAAGGCAAATACGTGAACACGTAGAGAAAGCTATCTAGTGCTAACAGCACTCCGAAAAGGAATAATTGCTCCGTATTTAACGGCACCACGAAGAAGTTTTGCACACGTTCCTGGTGAACTCCGTCGCTCTGTTTAATATCGTGGACGCCAAAGATCTCTTTGTAGAAAAAGTCCGATAGTCGGAACGGATGAGGCGCCGGCGGCATCGCTGGAACACCAGCTACCATGGCCCTTGGAGACGGTGCCTGGCTCAATTTGGGCTCTGTATCTGTTGCTCTGGCTGTTGCAGGGTATGGCGAACTCCTGGCGAGCGGCGCTACGGGCGAGAAACTCGTGGGCGAGTAGTTCGCCGAGAAATCCGTCGCGATCTGAAGATTTGGCTTGGGTCGGCCGTTCCGCGTCGGTGACAGCTTTGTCGCTGTTGCATCTGTAGTTAGAGATGGATAGACATCTTTTGCAACGGCTTGAGGGCTTGTGGCGTGGATAGGAGGCCCAGGAGATGATTTTCTCCGCTTAACGGAGCTGCTGGAGACGCCCGCGTGTTTTGGCGCTTTCCGACGTGCTACTCGCTTGCGATGGAGTAGAGTTGGAGAAACATGCAGCCTAGGCTTATCTCTTGTTGGATCATCGCTAGAAATGGACGGTAGCGCAGCAGGGAACGGCATGGATGGCGGCGAAGAAGGAGCGAACGTCGATGCCATTTACGCTCGCGACCTAAATGAGTTTTTTGTGATGTCATAACTGAAATCGGGTTAATTAACACTTAACTGTAGCCACTTGTGAAGTTGAAGCGTGTCGGTTCATGTGCATTTTTCGGTAACGGACCTCTAGAATGGCGGCAGCGACGTGGACGAAGTCACCGCCGCTGGACCCTCGCGTCCTGGCAAATGTAGTGACATCGTACGATGGGGAGACACTGCATGTTCCGGAGTGCGATGTACCAGTGTATCATGGTAAGGGAAGACTGGAGTTCAAGACGGGATTCACGTACAATGGAGATTTTGTTCATGGTCGAATGCATGGTATTGGACGCATTGAGTGGCACACTAGTGGTGTGGTGTATGAAGGGGAGTTTACTCATAATGAGATCACTGGACGAGGAACCTACTGGTGGCCCAACGGCAGTTCGTACGTCGGAGACGTCAAGTGTGGCAAGCGACATGGCCACGGGGTTTTCGTTACTGGAGACCGCGGTGTTGTCTTAAAGCAAGAGAAAGGTAATGGAGCAAATCAGGAAGCGATGGTGGAAGCGGAAGAGGCTCCGAAGCCGCTTCTGTTTGCCTTTCATTCTCAAGAAGACCAAGGTGAAGGTGGTGAAGGTCTGAGTGAGACTAAGGGTGGAGATGGTCTATTCGTTGCGCAGAGTAATGCTCGTTATGACGGTGAATGGGAGAATGGTCTGCCTCATGGTTACGGAGAGTTGGTGTTCGATGCTGCACGTAATATTCGTTACGAGGGGCAATTCGTTGAGGGGAAGCGAGAAGGTAGAGGACACATGCACTACGCGGACGGAAGTGTGTATGCGGGAAACTGGAAAGCTGACGTCAAGTGTGGACAAGGAGTAATGACTTGGATGACTTCGCGAGGTACAGATGAACTGACGAGTCTCGGCGATGCTACGCCACTTGAGCGGTACGACGGCGAGTGGGAGAACGACTGCCAACAAGGCTTTGGGAGGCATGTGTGGCTTGTGAGTCCACTTAACACATCGAGCAAGAATGGACTTTCAGCCTCCAGTAACCCACACGACAAGAACTGGTATGAGGGAGAGTTCCACGAGGGGCTACGCCATGGACGTGGCGTATTCTTCTACGCCAACGGCGCTCGGTATGAGGGTGAATGGAAATCGAACGTCAAAGATGGATACGGTCTCTTCTTCTACGAGGACGGACGTGTATTTGTTGGACTATTTCGACAGGATCGAAGCATTGAAGGCTCCTACGCGACGGCAGCAACCGCAGGGGCTACATCTTCTTCTTCTGTACCCTCTATCGAATCTACATCAGCACTGTCACCGTCCCAACCACTTTCGTCTTCCTCGAACACTGCTGGAATTATGCTGTATATCAATGATTTACTCCCGATTACGGATATACCAAGGCGCGAGAAGGCCCGAAAGGCTGTCGAGCACGCCGCACTACGCGTTAACACGGAGCTGCGTGCACTCTATCGCGAGTGTATTAAGGAATCTCGTCGCTCATTAGCTTCCACTTCTAATGATCCGGATGATACAGGGATTCTTCTTGAACTCTTCGAGTGTCGACAGCTTCTTTCCCAATGCGGCTTCTACTTTACCAGCGGACAACTCGAAACGTTCATGCAAGATATCCGTAAGGCGCAGCGAGCGAGTGCTCTTGCCTGTGCGTCTTCGATGAACATCGCAGAGTGTTTTCTCGAAGACTTACCTGCTGAAAACCACCTCAAACACCCTCTAGATCCAAGTCGACTCGAAGTCATACCTTGGGACGAACTGCTGCTCTTCAGAGAGTTTGTTGAGCTCCTAGTTCGCATCGGGTACTCTTGGGTTACGACTGCAGAGGCAGATGGCATGATCGAGCTCTCAGGGAGTATCGACAGTACCGTGTTTCTTGTGGACGTTTTCTCCGATCTGTACGACCAAATGATGCGTGAGCGTCAAGAAGCACTAAATCAAAGTTCCTCAACGTGGCTATCACTTCTACGAGCAGAGCTGATGGGCAAGAAACTTCACAACATTTTCACCAAGCACCACGATCATCTTCAAATACTATACAACAGTTGTACAACAACTTCAGTACTGCGGCTAGATGAAGACATATCCGAGCAGGAATCCGAACAGGAGCCGATAGACAAAGGCGAACCAGAGGTATCCATTCGATCTGTACTCATCATGCTTCGTAACGAGCCTCCAGTCGATACACCGATCTTTACGTCGGAATTCCAGATCCGAGATGCACTTTCAGCACTAAACAGAGCGTTTGCAGCGTCATCGCCGCCACTGAAACCTGAGCTTCTTAGGAGCGTCGCGTCTGGATCAAGCTCGGAAGACAACCAGGTTAGCGAGCCGGATGCATTCTTTATGAGCACGAAGCTGGTATTCTCGGAGTTCTTGGACGCGATCGCTACTGTGCTTTTCGCGAAACAGAACATGGTGGCAAACAAACGTCAGACACCTCAAGAATTTCCTCTGTACGTGCTGGTGGACCAATTCATGCAGTCACTGAAGGTGGAAGGTCATCGCGTAGTATAAACATTCCAAACAGATATCCTAGACGCCTAGTTCCTCTATAGTCTAGTACACGCGTCCGACCGGACCCATGACCTGGGCGTATCGCGACGGTAAACTGACCACTTGGTCATCGTCGAAAGTGGCTTCAAACACTTGACCATCGTACGCATAGCGAATGTATCTGTAATCATACAGCAGAATGTGAGACGGGAGCGGACTACTAGCAGTCTTAAAAGAGGGTACTTACAGCAGCGGTTTAACAGCAGAGCTGGATGACCGTGCGTCGGCGATTGTTTGGTCTTCGCTGATGCAGGGGTTGTAGAATCCCAGTAATCCAGCCTTCGACGACGAATTAAGAGCGAGTTTTCCGTCCTGAATACCACAACAAGAACAGGTAAAATATTGCAACTTAAGAGCCATCACTCGGTCTTCGTACCTTGACGAAGAACTGCAAAGGAATCGTCACATCGACCCATTTCTGCTCCAGTAGCTCAGTCTCTGCTTCTTGCTGTGTGATGTTCTCCCCGCTGTCATCGTCACCAAGTTCGCGGTCCCGCATTGCGCGGAGAGCTGCATCCAGATCATCTTCACGGGCCTCACGCGAGTCAGGACTCGTCGGGTTCTTGCCGTATCGGCCTAGTAAAATCACCAGTCCCTTGCCGTCCTCCCGCTGTTGTTCCTTCTCCATCTTCTCCTCTGCACTCCGACGCATCAATTTCTGTTGCTCCAGCGCACCCTGACGCGCAGTGGCGAGATACTGCACACGCATATCGTGTCGGTGCTCCAGTTCCAGACGACGCTGGCGCGCCTGCGCAGGCTTAATGAGTTGCGTGACCACCGCAGCCACCACAAATGGTGAAGTGGCTGCACAGAAGGTAAACCAGGCCGACTGCGCGGAGAACGGAGACAGGAAAATGGGCATCACAAAGCGTACACTGCCACGAGTGAAGCCTACACGCAGCGTCACACCCGCACGTGCAAGTAAGACACCCAACGCCAGTCGGGTACGGTTAGAAATCTCTCGACTAGCTCCAGCCACGACCGACAGGCCAGTCGCAAGGCTTGCCCGTAGCGACAATTTAGCTGTCGTAGCTGCCAGGAGAGCACGACGGAACTGGAACGTCAAGTTGGGGCCAGCAGCGTTCACAGCGACGGCAGCCGCGGCATTGTACGTCCCGGTGTCCTGGCTTAGCGATCCAGAAAGACCGTCTCGTGTACTCCACATCATGGCACCGTGAAGCTGCGGCGACAGGAGCTGGTTTGCTCCCACAGAAATATCCAGTCCGTTATCATCGAGCTCTGGGATGAGCATGAAGACCGTGTAGCGCGACACTGGCTGGCTGATCTGGCAGTGGAGCTTGGGCGCCCAACCCAGCTGGCTCGTGAGCGTAAACGACGGGATACTCGGATCTAACGACGTGTGCGCGAACTCCGCAGTGAAGCTGCCCATACCCATTCCTTGCTTGTCAAACATGTAGCCTCCAAGTGTCAGCGCTGTGCTGCGCGACAACGGGAACACTGTGCGCTGGTGGATCGTCATCTCTGTGCGGTCCACGTATCTCGCGCCGCTGTGGAACAGACTACGCAATCCTTGCATCGGCGCCTGCACGAAATCCGACGCGTCTACACCCATGGACATCTCGCTGTAGGACGAAAACTGCGCTTCTAGAGCCTGCTGGTTCATGCGGCGCATGATCTTCTCCACGTATCGCTGCACCTCGTCCGATGTCTCCAGGTGGGCACCAACGACCTGCTGCTGAGCGACGCCATCGTGCTCCAGCGCGTGCACTCCCTGCGGTAACACCTCCAGTCAGCACATCCCTTCAATATTAATTTAGAGGAGCTCCAGGTGGATTATCATTTTAGAAGGCCAGGACGGAGATTGACCATCAATTTAGCCAACCCTTTGCAATACAGCACGATATTGCACCAACCTGCTCGCCGTAGATGTCGTACACGCGGCGCTTTACCGGGTCGCACAGCACTTTATATGCTCTGTCCAGCACCGCGTACTGTGAGTTGGCAGCGGCTACGATCGCCGCATTTCCTTGTCGTCGACGATCGGGGTGAAACTCGCGCGACAATGACAAGAAATGGCTGCGAATCTCGTCACTCGAGGCATCGCGTGCCACCCCTAGAAGCGCGTAGTAGTCACGCTCGAACTCGAATGGAGATGGAGGCACGTCGTCAGCCATGGTATGCCTTTGAATGTCGCGAGTGGCTCCGAATGACGTTTTTATTGTCAATGAAAAAATATAATTATGCTGAGACAAATTATTTTATTTATCATTTACGATACAGTACTATTTCTAAAGCTTTTTCTAAATACTTTTATAGTATTTTCGTGTTATAAAGTAGTACTTCCGATGTCCGACTTATCAGCTACTAAAAACCAATCTATTACTACTAAATAATTGAGGCGCCGATCGATCGACACGAAGGAGAGAACACGACCCTTGTTAGTCTTAACTCTGTACATCTCGCATTTTGCCGAATATTACATGAATTAATCCCAGTTGGGCCGTACGTTTACTTCGTACCGAAGCATTACCAGTAAAATAGAAGGCTTTAGTTCATGGACACACCCCACACTCTGAAATAAATTGAAGTCCTGGAGAATATTTCCGACGTCGTTTTGTTGTTTCATTTAAACCTCAGAATGGGGCTGCGCAAACCATCGCAAAACGAAGCATTTGGGCTATGCGATGGAGCCTTCAGTTGCCAAAACCGCTGCGGTACAACAAAAGTTATGGGCGTTTGGAATAAATAGCACGGAGCCGTTTGCCCAAAACAACTTGACATCCTGTCGTACATGACATTTTTTCAAGATTCACCGAGTCGATTCTCAGAGATTACTACGGAGTAAACTTGATATAGCCCACATGTCAAAATCTGATACGAATTTTTGCATTTAAGCGGATAAACTATAATCTAGTGCTAAGTAGTACTTAAGTAGTAGTGAAAAACTGCTGATTGATGTGCCATAGCCACCGAACGTAAAACTACAGGTATTCGTGTATAATTTGCAGTGACTCAATGCAATGGACGTGAAGCAGAGTTTGAAAAAAATAGTCGTCACAATGTATAAAACTAGACCACAGACTAATTTTCTGTCTGTGGTTCAAAGACTAGATTTTTTGGGCTTTTAAAGTTCACTGCATGTCCAACAAGCAAGAGTACAAGATAATGTAGCAACACACACATTTATATCTTGGCGTTCGTAGGAAATAACCGACCACCATTGCACTCAAAATCATCATGTTATGATTGTCGGAGAGCAGGTTAACATGAAAATTGATTCGAGATGTGTTATTGCTCGACATGGAGTCGAAACTAGCGGAGGCCCGCATGTGTGCTTTCATGAAGAAGCCGAAGACCCGTATGTAGCACATTCGCAAGCGTGAGCTCCTACAGTGAGGTCAGAATACTTACATCCATAAGGATAATTTCCTTTCGAAATGAAATTATACCCGCTTGAAACAAGTATGCAAAGGGAATTTCCCTTCGAAATCTTTTATAAAGAAAAAAATGGACTGTCGACAGTTGCTACCATGGAGTTGTACTTTCAAGGAGATGCTGTAGCAGCTTCTCCAGAGCAGATGCGCCGCCAAAAGAAGTCCCGCCTTCAAGCTTACGCATTTGCTAAGTTTCTTCGTGGGAGCACGACTTCGTATTTGTACTCACGCAAGAAGTTCCATGAATGGATCTGTACGACAAAAAAATTACCTAATTGGCTAAAAAACAAAATAACATTATTATTAATAACGTTAAGTTTGAAAGCTTGTCTTTTATAGGATGTTGAATCGAGTTCTTTTTTTTTTTTTGGGGGGGGGGGGGGGGGTTTTTTTTTGGGGGGGGGGGGGGGGTATTTTTTTGCGGTGGCTGTGAGTAAGCATACTTTATGCGCAGCGAGTTGTACACAGGTGGTGAGTTCTAGACTGAGGGCAGCTTAAAAATGTATGCAGCCGGCGTGGGATATCAGATATATATAACTCGTTGAATAGCGCATCCAAGTCCCGAAAACATATTTTGCCCGACCCAAGCATCCAGCAATATAAGGCAAGTGTCCTCTATCTCTCCACATGTGCACCGTTTCGTACTGGGCAGAGAGTAGTCTCCGGTAGCTGGGCTAACTGAGCCCTAGCTGGAATGCGAACCGATACGTTGAGACAAGGAAACTGCCTAGTGTCGTATCCTATGTTGAAACGACGGCTTCTGCAATGATACAAATTCTTCGATGGTCGCGGGCTGACTTGGCGTGAGCACTGCATCCAGTCCTGCTTTCGCCATGCGGATGGTCCATTCTATCGAAGACCACGTTGCCCTTCCAGGGTTTTAAACGCTACGTGGCGCTACCAACCCATTACATACGCGCGTGCCGCGTTATCAGATTTGCCTTGGCCAAGAATAAAGAACTGGCACCTGAATGTGCCTCTAGTCGTGCGTGAATGCAAAAAAAAAAAAAAATAGGAGATGCGATAAACCAACAATACTGGAGGGAGCCGTTGAAGGAGCAATGTATGGTCGGAATCGTGCGACACCCTGGAAATGATTGCAGTGACCTTGGCTCCAAGCAAATGGTACAACGACGATAAATTCTTTTTCAGAATTGATGGTAGTAGTATAACACCATCCATCAGGGAAGGCAGCCCCAGCTTGCATTTTTCCACCACCAAACTCCACCACCCAGCTCGACATGGGCTCCTCAACTCAAATCGCCGGTAGTGGGCTCATTTCTCCGTTGCAAGTGCCTTGTAGTCGGACAACAGAAGAGTCAAATGTGCCCAGCTCATGGCCCATCGTTTACAGCACATGCAGGAAGTTTCCATACTTTATATGGAGTTCGGACTTTGGACCGTCCTACTACGCTGTGTGGCGAAAGTCTGGGCTTCGGTTCAGTTTGCTGCTCAACGCCACAAACAAACTCAAGTCTCCGAGCTCACTCGCTTTTTGTCGTCATTTTGCATTTTACCGACTCGGGAGCATGACAAAGCGGATCATGGAAGAGGAACGGGAGACGAAGCGCGTCAAACTGGTACACGCCGCTATCATCAACGCCCACAGCGTCTCCGTGCAACGACGCCTGCGAAAGATGAGCGAAGAGTTCCAACCGTCCAGCTTCGGCTTCCACGTGCAAGCACGCTTGCTCTGCGTGGGCATGTCGGTCGTATACCGGGTATCCCTCTCGTTGACTATATCAAGCACGTGCATATCGAGGACAGCAAGCGGCTCGACGACACTGGCGGCTTCCAGCGGCGGACACACGACACAATCATCGTGGGTAATCGCAATGAGCCAGAACAAGTTTTGTGGGTTTTACGCCCACGTCAACTCCATCCTGTACCATCCAACCGTGATACAACACCTCACCCCACCAGTGGATATCCAGCAGGATCAAGACGTTGTCGTCGAATGGAAACCTTTCGAGGTATTCCTACGAATCCTGACCGAGATAATCCAACGGTACGAAGATCTACAATATGTGGCTTTCTCCATCCAAGCAGATGCCAACACTATGAACGCAAGTAAAATGCAGCTCCAGGGTTTTTTATCGGACTGCTGGAGAGCACTGGAGGTAATTGCTCCAGCGATTGTGGTGGAGCCGTATCTTCCAGCACCACTTGGTCGTGAGGTACTGAGCATCTTTGTGCTGATGCGAGACTTCCTTTCTCTCCCTGAAAGCGTGTTAGATGCCAATTGCACTTACGCGAATGCCATCCTCAGTCTCCAAGATGTTGAAGGTTTACTACCAACGCATTCTGAGCATTCGTGCAGTATATGCCTCGAGTCCCTCGTCTCAAGTGAAATGAAGGAGATAGCAGTTCCCGATGGTGATCAAGACAGCAGCAATAGCGACAGTGATCATGACAATAGTACCAGCAGCAACAATAGTGACGACAGAGATGCCGTCTTACCTGCTTGCAACAACTTTTCTGTCAAATTGCCATGTGAGCACGTTTATCATGAAAACTGTATCATGTCGTGGTTGCGCCACAACCCAAGCTGTCCGGAATGCCGCGCTCCGGTCGGTGCCAACCTGTAGACTTGTCGATACTAACACTAGTAGAGCACGGGAGACTACAATAAGAGAATCTGCAATTGTACAAATATTCAAATATTCAATTAGATAGCACCTTATAAAATTTACACGGTATCCATCGTCATACACTCACGACAACACACACAGCCAGCCGATCAAAATGTTTAATAGTGTCACTGCTGCCAGAAAAATTGAGTGACAATACTTCACGAAGAGGTTTGCGCCGTTTTTCAGTCGTGGAGCCCTCCTCAGACTAATACAGTACGAATTAGTGAAGAATAAACTACTAATTGAAACAGAAGATCCCACTTCGGTTTCTTAACCCAATTAAGAAAAAAAAACTTTTCGCGTTGACCACACAGTGCTGCCCACAAATGCAAGCTGCCATCTTCTACGTCAATCTTAAAACGCACCATTAGAGAACAAACAAAACACAACACTCCAGTGCCTACGTAAAAGCAAAACTCTAAAACCGGGCACACCTGTCAAGCCAGTGACAAGAAGTTACTCTTTCCACCTCGTTTCAGAACGCTGCTCGAAGGTTCCTCCTCCTCACATTTAGCTCTACGCTAGCGTACTTCTTCCAGAATCGATGCCCGCCAGCTCAAAACTCTCTGCCAGCCTCGCCTTTCATCACTACAATACTCTTCATCTCGCCCAAAGTGACCATCAGCGCTATTTAAGTTGTTGGCAAACATTTGGGATCTTGTTGAAGTGGTGCCATCTGGGTTGAAGAGTCAGTCACCTAAACTTGGTGTACGTTTGGTGTACCACGTACAAAAGCCATACAAGCCGTCACTTCGTAGCTGCTCAGTCTGGAATTGTCGACCATGGCGTCGGAGCTGCCGTTCCCGCTGTACGCGGGCTTCTTCCCGCAGATGGTGCTGACGGTGGAGGAGCTCATGCACTACCGGCGCTTCGGCAAGGAGCGCGTGGCGCAGCTCGTGCGCATCATCGACGACGCTGACTGTGTCTACCGCTGGACGGACATCAAGGCTCGCAACGGGCGTGGAGTCCAGAAGGCGCAGTTCCTGGACATCCGACCAAGTACCAAGCAGCCAACGTCACAACAGCCGTCCACGATCTTAAAGTCCAGCGTCCACATTGTGGATGTACAGCCCGATGAGATCTTGCAAGCCATTGCTAAGGTCAAAACTCGAGACGCTCGACGAACTTTAAGTTATCTTCATGGAGACGAATTTGTAGATACGCAGACACTGCTGACGTTCCCGACGTCATCAGAGCACAAGAAACCGAGTTATTCATACAGAGCTATCAAGTGGTGCCTGCTTAAGGCCAAGAGGAGAGAAGGACAGAAGAGTCTGGACTTCTGCTACTTGGAATACGCTGGTAAAAGGAAAGCCCATGCAGCAGCCAGTAGTGTGGTTGGTTTCTGTGTACAGGAGTCAATTGCCAGAGATCGAGAGGTACCGACACTGGAGAGATACGATATTCTACGAGGACAGTTCATACGTACAGGCATCTTGATCACCAAGACCCACCAGTCGAATATCCTCAAAGTCACAGCTATTGCACAGGTGGATGGCGCTATGATTCCTGCTGCTGTGAGGATGACAATGGAGGAGATTATGGTCGACTATGTCGCAGCAGTACATCGTGTCAAGGGATTATTAGAACGCCAACGCATGGGGAGGCTGCAGTACTTGGACGAATGGGACTGGGTGTCCACTAAGGACCGCAAGGCCTGTGCAGTTTGTCTGCGTGGGTTTTATTTCCATCGTAAACACCATTGCGCTACGTGTGGCGAGGTTGTGTGCTCCAATTGCGCCCCATTGCGTGAGCTGGAGGAGCCTTTGGATGATCATACATATGCTATGCGTGTGTGTTCTGTGTGTATGGCACAGGCTGGTAGTCATCGCGAAAGTATGTCGGGAGTTACTGAGAGTGAAGATGGGATACTCGAAACTACCACAATTACGACAAATGTGGGTACTGATACCTACATAGGTGGTCTACGCTATCCGAAACACCGAGGACTGCGGAGAGGAGGCATAGAAGAGTCAATACGTGGTTCATCTTCACAAGCGACGCCTGTGCGTTCGCCACTGCCACCATTCCGACAACGCCATCGAGTGGTTTCAAGTCGTAGTAGTGCTCAAGGCAATGGATATGACTATGACTCTGATGGCAGTGAACCATACCAGCGAGCAGCGTCTGAGTCAGCGAGAAGAGAGCGACGATCCAGTGTGTTGCGTCACTCTACACTATCGTCTTCTGCAATGTCAGCTCAATCCAAGAAAGAAGCTCTGGATAAGCTCGTGGAGCATGTTCGCCAGATCCGTGATACAATCAATGTAGCCATTTCGGAGGCTGAGGAAGAAGAAGAGCGTCATAGTATGATGCTGGAGAGTGGTCATGGAGATCCGGACGCCGGTGCTGAAAGATACGACGAAATCTACGACCGTATTATGAAAATTCGAGAAACGTTGGACATGTCCAGCTCGGACTTTGATGCTGTATTGGAGTCTATCGGCCATAATGATCCTGTACGTCCGTCGGATACAGTTTCGGATCGTCTAGATAGCGATCTAGCCTTTAGCTTCAGTGAAGGTGCAGACAGCGAGAACCCGAGCACTCTTGCAAGTGAGAGTATCGAGTTCCATTCGCCACGATCATCATTACTCTCAGCTTCTGTGCAGTCGATGGACCATCAAGACGCTGGGGAACCTCTGCCGTCGCAAGAAGACAGCGCTGTCGAAGAAGCGCGAGCACTGGAGGAGGCGATGCAGTGGGCTCGTCAAGCAGAACCTATCACAAGCTTGCACGCTACGCGTCTAGCGTCTCCAGTAGTGCCGTCTACAAAAGTTCAGGACTCTGTACATCGAGCTGAACCAGGTCCAGCACCTTCGGAGCCCATACCGACGCCAGTGGTGAGTGTGAGTAAGAATCGAGGCATTGAACGGCTTGCAATGAAGATCGGGCGTTTACAACAACGTCTCGAGGCCTCACAGCGAGATTCCGAGACCTCAAGCAGTGCAGTCAATCCTGTTACCTCAAACACGCTGGATGTCCCACCCGTTGTTAATGAGGAACATGATGAGCCTGAACCTGAACAACGACCACGACAGTCCGAGCCGCTACCAGCACTAAAGCAACATGGAAGACCAACGTCGCAACCGAAGGAGAAGCATGTGGCTATTGATCCTGAAGCGATTACGTCTTCCCCTTCACAGGGTCTCAACACTAGCGGACGTCTCTCCGAGCCATCTCGTGTTCCGCCTGATCTTGTGGCAAGTCTACGTGGCGTCATGAACTCGAGCGAACTTACGCATGCACCCCCTCGTCGACGGTCTGGGGTCACTGCACCGTCCCTTTCGCCGCCCGAGACGCCGTCCAACACGACTCGGAACTCGTACGCTGGGCAGTCGAAGAGAGCGCCACCACCACCACGCCCAACGACACCACCGGCGCTCCCACTCTACAGCTCGATGCGGCCCTCTGCTACCGCAGCCCCGACACCGACTCCTGTGCAAGGCACCACTATCTATGTATTCGACCCTGAAGATCGATTCCAGCGAGTGCAGCGTCGTAGTCTTGACCAACGTCCCATTGAAACATCAGAAACAGTGGAGACGAGACCCGATGAGGTTCCGAGCGGGAATGACGACGGTGAAGAAGCAAACCCGGTAAATAACGCGTACTTGTCCTCCTCGGATGAAGAGCAAGGACAAGCACGAAATGCTGCGACTACACTACCGCCATCAGGGGGCTCTGTTCGAAGAGGAGGAGGAGCTCGCGATGAAAGCGGTGAGTTGCGCGAGTTGATGGAGGGGTTGGCGAAGGCTCCCTTACGAAGCCGTTGCTCAAGTGGACAATCCACTGGAGCACCACCCACTGAGAAATTCGACTTTTAGCTACGCTTGTTAAGATCATGTAAAGAAACATGCTTATGAGAAAGAAAATATGCGGCTGGACTGTTTCTTGACTGCCAACAACTACTAAGTATCGCCGTCCAGATTTATGCTTTCCTCTAAATCTGGAATCATGCAGGCACTTAAGGCTTCGATGTGACTCTACGGGCCAAACACGTTTAGGTGGTGGCCAGCTAATAAGTAAATAAAGGCCGTTTGAATATTTTTAACGAAAGACAGTGGCAATGACCATAGTTAAACTAAGTTATTCAGTGAGTACTATCCTGGGTGCAGTTCCCCCACTAATGAAAATCAGACAGTTGTGTTCTCAATTTGGTCTTCATGCCTTGAGCAGGATGAAGTCGGCTTCAGTAGGATACACGAAATTGGAGCGCTAGTTGAGGTATCAGAAAAGGTTTGATTTTTTTTACAAAACAATAATTTCGAATGTTATCGACGAGCAGGAGTGTGTTCTATTCATTCTAACGTTGCGGGTGTTGCGAATGTAGGTGCTACGTCACGTCGGGAAGCACTGAAAACGTACGTTTGGTTTATTTCCTGCGCCTGCGTGAAGCTAGAATGTCGAGGGTGGCTTCGATTGGCAGTCCCTCAAGGCCAAATGAATGGAAATTTATAGATAACATGAACTACACGACCATTTGTACCCGTAGCTAGTGGTCGAATTCCCAATCCAATTAAAATCCAGAGTCCTATGTGGAATCCGAGCAACGTACCAATAATTGAATCCCCTTTTAATCGGATCAGGTACAAGTTGAATTTGCATTTAAAAAACTCTTTGCTTATATATCCTATAAATATTTATAAAATCAATGCGTGTTGACCCATCCAGCTCTAGGGTTCGTTCAAGCAACACTTACTACAGATAGTACTGTAGATATTAAAATATAATCTGCTATCGGGCTCAATCGAGCAACATGCAATAAAAGTTACATTGTGGAAAACCGCGTGAAATCTTGTCGAGAATTTGAAGCTCTTCCAGCGAAATTTCAATCCTTTTTTCGAGTTTTATCGTGAAAAAATCGCCAAATTCTCTCTGCGGCGATAAATGTCTTCATTTTGCATTGAGATAGCCCAAGCATTAGTTTTAGCAACGGACGTAATGAGCTACATTTTGCTTCGACAGCAACAAATAATCAACCAACTAGCTTGGTGGATAGTTCTCGAGCAGAAAGAGTGCGAGCAAATACGTATTAACTGAGGTTTACTTCATCTTCCTACGTCGGTGTATCCATTCTTATAAACTCTTTGAAATAGAAAAGCGCCAATAAAATCCAGAGCTTCTCGGGGCGCCAGCACGGCTTTGTACTGTGGTAGAGTTGGAGAATGATATCCATATGCGAATAGTAATGGTGGTACGTTTCGAGACCGGTTCCGAAAATCATGATCCGCAAATATAAAACTTGCAGATATATCTATCTACACTAGAGGGCATTTGGGCTGGTAATACCGAGTAAAAGTGTCTGCGACTTACACTGAAAACATTTTTTATAGCATAATGTTTGCCTAACCCGCGATGCGAAAAACACCCAGAAAGCCGTGATATCTTTCGTTCCCGGAAAAATCACAGTACTCATCGAATTCATTTCTCCATTTCCCGCCGATATTTCCAATCAAGTCATATTTTGAAAGATGGAGAATCTTGGTCTGGAACTATCCACCAGACTTGTTCTAAGCTGAGAGTTGGCTCAGTTCGGCTTTTTTTGGTAACCGCGGTAGCCACTCCACCCTCCTAGGGAACCCTCTGCTGCCGCGGCTCCGAAATGCCAGCCAGAGATTTTTGTGCTAGCGATTGACAGAGAGACTACCGTTGTCGTAGCAATTGTATTCGCTAGCACTTCAGCAATTACTGCATCTGCTTTGATCAGCGGGGGCTATGAGCTCCACCAACGCGCGCCTCGACGTTCCGCACGAAGACATTCATATAATCTACGCAGTCTAGGCGTACTGACTGGTTTAACAAGAGTCGGCGGTATAACAGGAGCTCTTTTCTATTCATCTATAGGTCTATCTCTGAAGCTACAAGCTGCCCTCCCGCTCCCAATGCAAAACATAAGCATATCAAGCGTGATGCGCTCACTAGGCTTGGTGCAAAGCGGTAAAATATATTCAGCGGAATCGGTGCTAGGCATCTCGGGAATAACGTAGTCAATTACATTAACGACATTGGAGGTGCTCAGCGTCATTGCTAGACGGTCAGTTACGACGCCATCATCTAAAGATTTTCCGAGGTAGAGCACAGCCTCTTTGCGATCGCTGGCTTCCCCGGAGTCGTCCGTGTGGTGGATGAAACTATTAACAGGATCCCCCGATCACATGACTTGGAAGGATGATACAGTCATAAAAAATTCTCTGTTCTAAATGTGCAGTCAGTTGTGGATCACTGCGTAAGGCTTCGCCCACTCTCCATCCGATCTGGCTTAAATAATGACCGGCTTTGCGGAATCGATTGGTGTCACGAAGATGTCTGCTATATATATATATCATACTTTTATTGCCGATACTAACACTTATACTATTCTAACTGGATTGTCCACGTATACACCACTAGTCAAACATCACATCGGTAATGACGGTTACAGAATGGCCGCTGAATGTCCCATCGTAATACTGAAGGATAGGTTTCGCATTGTGACATCAGTCACGATTCACCAGCTCTGTGATTGTATGTTGACACGTGCCTTGCCATGGATTTGGCAATGGCACGTGGCTCGACCACAATTGGTCCAAGGCGCGCACGCGCGCTTCGTAGTTGCTGCCGCTCCAGGCAGCACTTGCATCGTTTGCTTTTCTCTAAGCTCTCAATTCAGTTCATTGTTCATTTCACCATTTCCGGTGTTACAACTGGTAGCACAGGCCCCAATTCTGTCTCCCCGCTGCTTCCTGTTCCGTCCATCTCCACCCCGCTCCGTCTCGTCGTGTTCACTACCTGCTCCGCTTCCGCCTCGTCGTTCTGAGGAACTTTTGTGGGATCCCCGTCTGTCATGGATCCCGGAGAACATTTCGTCCCGGCGCAAGCCCTCGTGGAGGGTTTGACGGCCGCTATGGGTCAACTTGCTGACCATCTGATGCAGCAAAACCATCAGTTCCAGTCGTCGCTGCTCGAGCAGCTAAATGCCCAACGACCAGTTCCTGAGTTCAAGGTTGAGGGTACCAGAATGCCAACGTTTTCTGGTCTCCTCGAGGAGAGTGTGGACGAATTCATCTTTGGCGCCAAGCTCTTCATGCAAGGCAATAATGTGGACTACACCAGTGCGGCCAACAACAATCGTGTGGTGGCAATGCTCGCGTCGAATTTGCGTGGTGGAGCCGCGTCGTGGTACCACACCAGGGTTGCCACCGAGGACAGACCGTTGGAAAATATTGTGGCGTTTTAAGCTGCCCTCACGGAAGAATTCGTCCCGCCAGACCAGCAGTATCGTGTCCAAGCCGCCCTCCGACAGTGTCGGCAAGTCGGTACAATCGACGTTTACGTGTCGCAATTCCGCCGCCTTATCGCGCAAGTTCGCGATATGGGCCAGCTTGATCAGATAGACCACTTCTGTGCGGGTTTCAGGGAGAAACCCGCCAGGAGGTGAGCTATCTCCGCTGCCAGACTCTGGGTGCGGCGATCTCCCACGCACAGTCCTACGAACGGGCCCACTTCACAGGGAACAATGTATCGAGTGATCAAGCAGGCCGGCCGGCTGCCACGGCTTCCCCTGAGCCGATGGACATTAGCGCTATGGATTCTCGTCGGATCTCTAAAGAGGCTTGTTGTCAACACCGCTTGTGTTTGTACTGCAAGGCGCCTGGACATCGCATCCGCGATTACCCCAAGAAACCATAGCAGGGAAACGACTACGCTCAGCGAACGTAAATGGAGTGTTCGCTAAGCCTGAACCAATTTCTGAATCTCCTATGACGATATTTGTGGAAGTCGAGCATGCTGTGAGTGATGTTTCGACTGTTGAACTGTGTGTCAGCACAAGTGAGGCGGCGCCAGGCGCGACACCCCTGTTCATTTGCGATGCTGTTGTTGAAGGACACACGTTGAGCATGCTGGTGGACTCGGGCGCGTCGCATTGCATCGTGAAGCCGGGCATTGTCGTGCCATTTCCGGTCGAACAGAAGGTGAACATTGCAGCTAGGGGCTTTGATGGCAAGTCTGAGTCTCGTGTGGTACCCACGGGCAAGCTGGTCGTGTCGATGGACCCACCAAAGTTCCGTTTTTCGAGTGGCCTATTGATCAAAAGTACGATAGAATTCTCGGCCATCCTTGGTTACAGCAGGCTAATCCTTCTATTGATTGGTCCCGAGGCTTGATCGGTGGTCTGCATACCAAACCAGACACGTATGCAGATGATTTCCTGCCGGATGTTGCTCCTTTTGCCTGTAACACGCTCGAAATTGAGGAATTTGTGGGTGGGTTGCGCGTTGGTGAAAACGCGGAAATTTATCGAGTTGAACTGCAGCGGACGCACAAGCCAGATTGCGCCCACGTTTGTCGTTCGCCTATTGCATGACTTCAAGGACGTGATGCCCGCCGACCTTCCTTCCGGACTCCCTCCTGAACGCCCAATTGAGCATGACATGCAAATGAAGCCAGATGCCAAGCCTAGTATGCGCGCTCTGTTTTGTCATTCCCAAATAGAGAAGCGCGCACTGGATGACTTTGTTTCTTCGCTTCTGAAAAAGCAGTGGATAGAGAAGTCGTACTCACCGTGGGTGTCTAATATCTTCGCCGTACCGAAAAGGACCCGCGCACAGGACAGATTCCTCGACGCATCGACTGGATCCGTGTGCCAGACGTCGCAAAGGTGATTCGTTGGGTCATCGATTACAAATACGTGACCAGCGCAACCTTGGTGCCTCGTATCAGCTGCCGCATATTGAGGAACTATTTGGCCGAATGGTGGGTGCGGTCATTTTCAGCGTCCTCGATCTCATGAGTGGATATCATCAAATGCGGGTGTCTCGCCGTGCTCGGCCGTACACTGCCTTCCGTGCAAACGATGAGATCTATCAATGGTTGGTGGCTCCTATGGGTTTGACGGGTATGCCGGGCACGTGAACCAGGCTCATGCAAAGCTTGTTTGGCAACAAGGACTTCCAATCATTTATGGTAGTGTATCTTGACGATATCTGCGTGTTTTCGAGGTCTCGTGAAGCTCACGAAGAGCATTTGCGTCGTGTATTCGGAGTCCTCCGTGCCGAGAAACTCTTTGTCAAGCGTGAAAAGTGTCATTTTGCCCAACCTTCGGTCACCTTTTTGGGGCACGTCATCAGTGCTGCGGGGTTATCAGTGGATCCGGACAAGACATCAGCCATCGCTAGCTGGCCAACGCCACAGAAGCTCAAGGATCTTCACCGCTTCATTGGCCTCGCAGGTTACTACCGTCGCTTTATTCCTGAGTTTGCCACCATGCTTTCGGCTTTATCTGAATTACTCAAGCATGATGTCCAGTGGAAATGGAGCAACGAACTACCCCGAGCATTTAATGCGGTGAAGTCACTGCTCCTACAGGCGCCGATCTTGAAGCTTCCTGACCCGAACAAGGCATTTGCTGTCTCTACGGATGTATCAAAAAGCGCCGTCAGTGGGGTGCTCAGCCAGGAGCACGACGGTTTTGATCACCCGGTGGTATATTTGAGCAAGAAGCTGAACATTTCAGAGCAAAAATGGCCGACACACGAGCAGGAGCTGTTCGCGATCAAGCTCTGCATGGGACGGTGGCGAGTATATCTGCTGGGTCGTTAGTTCGTCGTCTACACGGACTACTCTGCCTGCCGAAGGTTCTTGAATCACCCCGACCTGTCACCGTGACTGACACGATGGCTCGAATTCTTTGGTCAATTTTCGTTTACGTTGAAACATCGATCGGGGAACTTGAACGTGGTCGCCGACGCGTTATCTCGCCCGCCTGTGCCAGTACTTGCAGAGACGATAGACAACCTGTATTCATCTCGACTGAAAAAAATGCTGGTGCTGGGCAATGTTTGCTTCTCCCCCGGGTTTGGTGTAACAATCAACGCAGTGGTGATCTCTACAGAGCTGGATGACGCGTTTCAACAGCTTATCGTGGATGAGTACAAGTGCGATAGGCGCTGTGCGCAGCTAGTTCAACGCTTTGAGCAGGAGTGGATTACGTCGACAATACCTACGCTTACGATAATGGGCTCCTGATACTCAAGAGTAAGTTTAGCATGGCTCCAATCCGTCTTCCAGTCCGTGACACGATTCTTCTTCGTGTTCTTCATGATTATCATGGCAGTGCCGTAGCTGCGCACCCTGGAGTTACAAAGACATACCTCGCCGTTCGACAATGGTTTGTGTGGGAAGGCGTGTGCCTCCACATCGAGTAGTATGCGCTAACGTGCGAGTGCTGCGTACGCAGTAAAAGCAGTACTAGAGCTCACCAAGGGTTACTCCAGCCTCTGCCTATTCCACATCGCTGTTGGGAACATGTTATTATGGATTTCGTGACGGGGCTACCCATGTCCCGAGGGTTCAACGCTGTTCTAGTCGTGGTCGACCGTCTTAGTAAACGTCCATGCTATCTGCCAACTACGAAGGGTGTAACAGCGGAAGACTCTGCTTGACTCTTCTTCGATCAGGTGGTCCGATACTACAGCCTCCCCAGCAGTATTGTCAGTGATCGCGACTCCAAGTTCTGCAGCAAGTTTTGCAAGTGCTCATGAAATCCATGGGAGTGAAGTTGAAAATGACCGTCAGTAAACGAGCTCAAGCAGATGGACAGTCGGAGCGACAAGTGCGAACGCTGGAAGATGCGCTACGCTGCACGGTATCTCACTATGGTGATGACTGGGCTGATGTTCTTCCGACGGTGCAGTATGCACAAGCTACCGCCATTGATTCGTCTACCAAGCTGTCGCCTTTTGAGCTGGACACCGGTCGACAACCTGCTACTGCAATCCGAGTGACCCGAGCTGTTGTTGGACCCCATGCCCAGTTCGTCCAGCACCGCCAGGAGCTTCTTCGAAACGCAAAGAAGCACCTGGAGCAAGCCCAAGCGCGTCAAGCCAAATATTACAACAAAAGTCGTAAGAAAGTGGCGTACGAAGTGGGTGATTTTGTCTATATTGACGCCAAGGTGCTCAATCTGAACGAGGTGGGCCAGCCTGCGTACGACCCAACAAAGGACCCTACCGTGAACAAGCTTCTGCCACGCTGGATCGGTCATACCACGCATTGGTACAAACGCTTATCGCCTCAAGTTGCCACAGGCGCTGACCCGACGCCATCCATCGTTCAACGTTGATCAGTTGAAGCGCTCGATGGAGAATCCGCTGCTGTTGGAGCATCGTGAAATTTCCAAGGCCGCACCCGCACTCTACGATGCTGCTGGAGAGCGCATTTACGTGGCGGAACGCCTGGAAAAGCGACGTGTCCGCAGCGGCAAAACTCAGTATTTGGTCTAGTGGCTCGATTTACTCGACTCGCAGAACTCATGGGAGCCGATATCCAAACAGCGAAAGCTCTCACACTGGACCGTACTGGTCAAGGCATTCACCGATACGAAGCAAACCAAGTAGGGAAGATTGTGACATCCGTCACGCTTCACCAGCTCTGTGATTGCACGTTGACACGTGCCTTGCCATGGATTTGGCAATGGTACGTGGCTCGACCACAATTGGTCCAAGGCGCGCACGCGCGCTTCGTAGTTGCTGCCGCTC